TCTTCATCTTCTACGTGTGCGGCTCCTCTTCTTCATCCTGAGACATTTGTGTTCATCCAGTGTCACGTCCGTCACGTGTTAGAAACCTCAGAGACACGCCCACTCGCTCACCGAGAAGGTTCCAGATGTTTTACTGCTGTTTTCTCTCATGGACTCACTCTGACATTTTACAGATGTTTTACTTGAGGCTGCAGGAGAAGATCCAGAACATGTCCAGAGACACTGACTCAAACATTTGTTCTCACATACAGAAGATGTGAGGAACATGTGAGGAACATGTGAGGAACATGTGAGGAACATGTGAGGAACATGTGAGGAACATTTCCAGACATCAGTTCATGTCTTGAAGCTGTGTTGTACAACTGAAGATGACTAAAGCAGCAACAGCTCACCTGTTAAAAACTTTAAAAACAATGGCGAGCTGATCATCTACTGTGAGAGCTCCGACCTTACAGAGGCAGCAGAGGAACGCAGCAAAAGCAGCTTCATGACCTGAGACGACAAAAACAGAAAAGATCTTTAAACATCAGCATCTGTGTGAGGATTACGTTTATTTCCTTTTAATTATTATAACACTTAACGTTGTGTTGTTTTACGGTTGTTGGAGTAAATGTCAATAAATGAACGTGCTTCTGAATTCTTCACTCTTTCTGCAGCAGAAAGTCGAGGCCTCTGTCTTCACCTCATGTTGTACGCTCGTGATGACCTAATTACATTTCGTTACGTGCTCTGAAAATGTATTGGGAAAGTGAGGTGACACCAGAGAGTGTCAGGAGAGGAGCAGAGAACAATCTTTTTATCTCAAAAAGTTAAAACTGTTCATCGTTATGGAGAGTAAGCAAATATTGAAGTCATGTTTCTTAGAAACATTTCGGGTCAATATGACTGTGTTTAGCAAAATGTGATTAAATTAAGAGTTTCGTATTGTTTAAAACATAATTTCAGTTATTTCATCATTTATTATTGTGAAGTATTTGACAGAACCTTATAGCTGAAGTAGTAAAGATTTTAGAGACATGAAGTATTTGAGGATATTTTTAGTAAAATACTAATGTAGACAACATGGAGGAACATTTCTGTTGTTGGGTTTAAAGGGTTAAAATAAACCAATACTAGGAATTTAAATTTCAAATAGATTTATATATAATATATTTTTAATTTGTAAACTGTCAGGTGGTTTCATTTAACTTACGATTAAGAGGTCAAATTATACAATTTCTCACAAAATATCATACATCAGAAAAATGTATGTAGGAGAAGATAACTTTTTCTCTCTTACCGCCTCATCACTCTCTTTGGTTGAGAACCACTGGACTAAAACTACCAACCTGTAGAGAAAGAAGACTTCAAGGCCAGTGTTTAGATACTGTAAAGAAGGTGGACACACGGCACTGTACCTGTTCCATAGTCTATCCTGGTGGGGTTCCCCACAGACTCTTTCAGATAGACGGCTATCTCTGGAGCTGCTGCACATTTGTCAACAGGGATCACTGCTGACACCAAGGCCTCTGCTTCCTACTCACACACACACAAACACATCACGTTCTACACACAGAGTAGGTGGTCGCATGCCTCAATGTGTGTGTGAGTGTGTGTACTAACCTGGTCTAGTTTGGAGTACCAGGTTCTGTAGGCCTTATTACCAAAGCGGGACGGCTGATCAACAGGAGGGGTCTCGTTGATCCATTGGTCCAGAGTCCCCAAAAGATCTAATATCTTCTCCACAGTCTGTAACACAAGAGATCAGGGATTCAGCAAAAGTGTCGTTCATTTGATACAGAATGAGCATCAGCACATGATCGATTTACTGAACAAGAGAAATAAAGAGAAACACTAAAGCAGCATATTCATTTCAGGGTTGTAATAACACAGACTCCAGCATTACAATTTTACTTGATGTCCCAGACTGTTTTTATAATACATTTTGAAATGTATATTTTAAAGACACACTTGTGTAACTTCTACTGATCAACAGCAACACATGGGGATTAACTCTGTTGGTCTGTGAGAGGGATGGAGTGGTTTTCATGTGTAGAACAAAGTGTCTCAATGTGTTGAGCTCTGACTGTCGTCCCACTGAACTGAAACTCAGCTTCACTCTTCAACTGTCTGGATCTGATTGTGACAGTTGAAGCTGTGACTCTCAGTCACTTGTTCTCTCAGGAACCCACTCAGCAGAGCTACAGACTCACTTTAATCAAGCTGCTGCTTCAAGGTAGAAAAGTTGCTATACATTCAGATTAATGTGAATGGGAATCCTTAAGGCTGAGACAAAAGCAGTTCTGTGAATGAAAAAGACCAACACACCAAGAATCAAGCCTTTAAATACCTCTGATAAGACCAAACTAACCTCAGACACTTTATATTCAGATGTGAGCTTCTTTCCTTTCACACCTTCATTCAATGACAAAACGAATCCCATATAATCATCATATGCCTGGGAAAAAAAGAGTTTGTTTTAATTGGTGCATAATAAAGTTAATTAACAGAACATGTATTAAGTCAAATAATTGGCCTGATGCTCAGTGCATTAAACTATGATCCATCCTGGAGGGATAAGAAAAGAAAACCACACAAGTTTCAACAACTTAAAAACAAAAAAATCCTAATAGGAAGCAAACTAAATAAACTTTATTTCAGACTCAATGGCAAATGTTTATATGAAAAATAAGAAAATACAAAATGACAAAAAATACAGAACAAATAAACAGAAATAAAATGGTCACACACAGACGTTGATTCTAGTGTTGTCTTCTCTCAGTTAAAGGTGTAATGATCACATTTTCAGTCAGTTATTTCAAACATAAAATTCCTCAGCACAGGATGAAAGGTGGAAACATTGTCCATCTTGGAAGCTTGAGCAAAAATACTGAATGCATCATTATCTGTCTGTAGCTGAATGATGACTAACTGAAGCTTTTTCAGTTTGTCATTTGTATAGCTGAACCTCAAGTGTGCGATATAAAGTTGAGTATAGTCTTTTAACATCGTCTGTACACATAGAAATGTGCAAGCAAACATGTTGAATTGTACAAACAGTTCTCAGAACTGAGACTGTAAAGCCTCATCACAGACAGATGTGAGAAACGTGTGCTGGCCCCAGTCTCATATGTTATAAATCTGAACCCTTCTTTGTGTAGTTTGTACACAAAGAGGCACACCAGATAAAAACCTCTGGGACTGTGAAACATGTGCACTCTACAGCTACACAACCTACTTGTGATCGTTTCCATTTACCCATGTCAGGCACCACACTGATTTCTTTCTTGGGCACCATGAAGGCGACTTCAGGTGCTTCATCCTCAGGTATGGATTCTGAAAATGATTTCAAAACACTGTTCAGAGAGTAGCTATGTAGAAGCTAACAG